TAGGCACTCTGGTCTGTAAAGCACTGAGAGAACCAAGGAGAAAATTAACTCTTTAAATTATATTTTTAAATGGATTAATAGTAAAAAAAAAAGATTAATATTAACTAACACTAAACACTTACCTTCCGGGTGCTATTCTAAATGTATATGGTTTAACTCCTTAAATGACTATAACATCATACATGATTCAGTGTGAGGAAATTGAGACAGAGATTAAGTAGGTCAAAGACACACTGTAAGTGGTGACACTGGGATTTAAACTCAGTCTGGCTCTAGAGGTCAAACTTGTAATTGCTACCCTACATTGTTTCTCTTAAGGCAGACCATTTTATTCATTTCCTCCAGGGCTTTTTTTGTTTTATAGTTTTAAAAATGTGGATTCTTAATATTTACTATCATTTAAAGCTTCACTTTGAAGCAAACGTTAAAAAAATCATTTTTTCTTCTTCAAAAACGTATAGCTGAAGGAATCCAGAAAATATCTGGATTGCATAGCTGAAGTTAACTAAATTAAAAACTTTGATACTGAGAAAATATACTTTAAGCAAAATTTAAAATGTACATGTTAACACTTGTTGATTTGGGGGGGTGTTAAATTTTTTATCCTGTTTCTGTGCTTAAACCTTAATAAATGGAATAATGCAAATGTGTTAGAAAGAATCACTATCTAAAAGAATTTTTAAACTCTGACTTATTACCTGAAGTAATATTCCATTTGAATGATTTGGAACTCTAGTTGAATCCTACCTGATTTTTTGGGATCATTTACTATTCAGACAGTGGTACGTTTCTCATTGTGATCTGAGATGTAAATTTTACTGACCTTCACTTTTCTTGAATTATTTTGGTAATGTTAACATATTACTATAACATATTAACTTAAAATATGTTTTTAAGTTATGTTTATGTCTTTTACTTCAGACAACAAGCAAGGAATAAGCAATTCTAGCCATTCTTCAGAGACAGAATTTCTTTTGTGTATCTTTAAGACTATAAAAAGTAATTTCCCAGGTGCCAAAAGCTTTGACCATAAAGGTAGTTTTAGAGGTCCGATAAGCAAATACATTTATTTCTACACAAAAATTAAAGGGATACATTTATTTTATTTAATTCCTTCATAAGAATATAGGTAAGGGTGCCTGGGTGGCTCAGTTGGTTAAGCGACTGCCTTCCGCTCAGGTCATGATCCTGGAGTCCCGGGATCGAGTCCCACATCGGGCTCCCTGCTCGGCAGGGAGTCTGCTTCTCCCTCTGACCCTCCTCCCTCTCGTGCTCTCTCTCATTCTCTCTCTCTCTCAAATAAATAAATAAAATCTTTAGAAAAAAAATATAGGTAAGAAACTGTGGCTTAGAGAAACTGACTACTCAAAGCTAGTCAGCTGGTTAGTGGTAGAGTAAATCACTGGACCACTAGTTTAGTATTTTCTTGTACTTTAATTTTTAATATTTTTATTTTCAATAGTTACCCACAGCTTAACATGCTGACATAAAACAAACAGGTTGTTGCTTTGTATTGATGCCAGAAACCAGTAATCTATTTTATTGGAACTGTTACCCATGACACTCCTCAGTTCACAAAGTGAGGCACTATGGTTAAGTGATCACATTGAGTACTTATTCCCATGCTAGGATGGTACCCAGCACATCTCAGTGCCCTTTAAATGTATGTGTATGTATATACAAAATTTGGATGATGTAAATATTTGTATCTGGCAATCTGTTACTTCATTAACTATCAATTCACATCAGGCAAGGCCAGTTTTTACGTTTTTAATTAGGATAGCACCATCTGTATCCTAGCTATTCCAGAATGGATTGTTTACAATGTGTTGTTGAGGGCTCTGAAGGAATATTTGGAGGAATATTTAACAGGCATAATTTTTTCCACTTTCCTAAATGGAAAGCTTTTCTTCCTTTAAAACATTTTTCCCTCATCAAGACTTTATACATCTGGCAGGGATTTGACATAGAACATCCAATATTTTTAACCTCTAACTTCATTTCCTTGCTTTTTGTCTTGTGCCTGGTTTTCTGTATTCCTTCATGTGCTCACCCAATGCTCCCCTCTTCTTTCAAACTTAGGATGTTAATTTCTCAACCATTTTTACATATGACTACACTTTATTCTCTGTTTCTGTATTAGCTATAATTCGTTGGGCACCTGTGTGCTGAGATGTGTTGTCACAATCCTGTAGTAAGAGCCAACACTTACTAGGTGGATTACTGTGTAACAGGCATTGTTCTAAGTGGTTTACTTTAATTATTAATTTAATATTAATCTTTGTAAAAACTCCATGAAGCAGGTACTGCTACTAATACTCCCAGTTTAGATGAAAAAACTAAGGAACAGAGAGATGTACCCAGAGTCATAGCCTAAGTGATGGAAATGGGTTACGAACCTGGGTAGTCTAGTCTGCCCTCACATTGGGAAAACTGTTTCCTTTATGCTACTACACTCAACAATACTTCTCACACCAGACGTGAGTCTCTCCCCCGCCCCCTCCCCGGCACAAACCAATTGTGACACAGGTTGGGTATTATACAATTTAACTCAATTTTGACATTCTCTACCTGGATAGTTCGGGTTGTTACCTGTGCTTCTGACTGACCAGCTGTAAATCTGAGGTTCTCACGACCCCCTCCCTGGGTTCGATTAATTTGCTAGAGTGGCTCACAGAACTCATGCAAACACTTACTTAACATTTACCAGCTTATTGAAGGATATGAGTATACAGATGAACAGTCAGATGAAGAGATGAATAGGGTGAGGTGTGGGAGGGTGCCAAGCACAGAAGATGCTGTCCCCATGGAGTTGGAGTGCATCACCCTGTCAGTGTGGATGCATTCACCAATCTGGAAGATCCCTGAACCTCATACGATTGGGATTTTATGAAGGCTTTCTCACATAAGCATAATCAATCATCAATTCCATTTCCAGCCTCTCTCCCCTCCCTTGAATGGGGGGTGAGGCTGAAAATTCCAAGCTTTTAATATGGCTTGATCTTTCTGGACACTAGCCCCCATCCCAGAGCCAAGCAGGAGCCCACCCTGTCACCTCATTAGAACAAAAAAGTGCTCCTAGTGCTCTTATCACTTAGGAATTAACAACGGTTTAGGAGTTCTGTGCCAAGAATTGGGGGCAGAGCCAAAACACATATTTTCTATTATCCCAGAGCTCTTAACCATTGTTACATCACCTCTCCAAGGTAGATATAGTACCATACAGAAGAAAAAAATGAGTTGGAAATCAAGTAATTAACTCAAAAGCACCCTAGTAAGTTAACTGCAAAACCTATACTTTTCCTACTGTATCAGAAAAGGGAAGCCAGAAAGGCTGGATTGAAATCCTGACTCTACTACTTAAAAGTTACATGACCTTGAAAGTTATTTCTTTTTTTTTTAAAAAAGATTTATTTATTTATTTGAGAGAGCGAGAACGAGAGAGTACATGAGGGGGGAGAGGGTCAGAGGGAGAAGCAGGCTCCTTGCCGAGCAGGGAGCCTGATGTGGGACTCAATCCCGGGACTCCGGGATCATGACCTGAGCTGAATGCAGTCGTTTAACCAACTGAGCCATAGTTTCCTCATGTTTAAAATATGGCTAACAGGGCACCTGGGTGGCTCAGTTGTTAAGCATCTGCCTTCAGCTCAGGTCGTGACCCGGGGTCTTGGGATCAAGCCCCCCATCGGGCTCTGCTTGGCAGAAGACTGCTTCTCCCTTTCCCACTCCCCCTGCTTGTGTTCCCTCTCGCTGTGTCTCTGTCAAATAAATAAAATCTTTAAAAAATAAAATATGGCTAATAGAATTTACTGCACTAAAGTTGTGAGCAGTAAGGATGTTAAGTATAAATAAAGTGCTTTCAAAAGTACCATAGCACTTACTGTTACTTTTTATTTCCAACCTACCTCTTTGTAAGAAAACAAAAAAATAATTTGACATGTGTGCTACTGAGGAAGCAGCTGTAAGCCAGAGATTAAGATAAAGCTCAAGTTAAGCTGGTTTAGGTCCAGATCCCAAGCCTATGTCCTTTATAAGGTTAACCTCCTGGAATTTCAGCATCCTCATAAGTGATATACAGAGAACAGTACCACACCTCACAAAGTTATTATAAAGATTAAATGAGGTGATGCACAACTGGTACATGGCTGTTGTTTAATAAATATTAACCACTGATCATCTCTGTATCTCTAGCAGCTAGAGATGTTTAATGAACAATAGCTAATGAACAGTGACAGTGTTACAACATCTTTTGTGCTTTCCTTCACTAGTCTGGTCATTTTCTTCCCTGGCATCATCCCAGATATTTTCAAGTTCACCATCTCAGCATCTCTCTCTTACTTTAAAGACCAGAATAACTAAAGAAACATGTAACTTTTTTTTACTACTTGAACTTGTCACTTACCTCATAGTAATCCTACCAAATTTTCAGCAAATGGAGTGTGCAAACACCAACTGCTGCAAGTCACCGGTAGAGTACTGAAAATGGAATTTTTACAGTATTTACCACATTAAGGACTATTAGACAATGTTCACAACTAATGTAATTAAAGCATATCTTTTTCTACTTTTAACCAAAGTTCCTCTTTATTACTAAGCTTTTACCACACAGCATGTATATAATTACAAGTATCCTGCTCAAGAACTACACTTAGGTAAATGGAAATAATATGTCAGAACTATTTTATAGGCTATCTTACAAATAAGATGATTCCAAAGGTGCATTCTCTTCATAAAAAAATTATAAAAATGTTCTAAGTTTGACAGTTGCTCCACAACCAGCTGTGAAACTTTCCTAGGCTACTTACTTGACAGAATATTGGAGAACTTTTTTCAACACCATCTCTTTTACCAAGCACTTTTGTATTCCTCCCAAAATTCCTAGTATGACTTTAATAATATAAATTAAAGAACAACAAAAAAATGAGCAATAACCCAAACTTCCCTGTTGACAAGAATTTTTAAAATTTAAGGTTTGGTATTATATATCAATACAACCACTTCAAAAGTTAAAAATAAAAATTTATTGATCTAAAATTATTGCAAAATATCTTAAGTGAAAACTTTATTTAAGCTTAATGCTCTTTTTAACTCCTGCACGAATGCCAGACAGTTCACCAGTGTAACGCTGCTCTTCTCTACGAACTTCACGAACTTGGCCTCTTCTGCGAATTTTAGCTTTCCTGAACTTCTCCCGGTGTTTCACTCTAGGATTGCGATCAATCTTCTTTCTTCTAGGTGTAAGTCCTCTATTTTTAGCAATCTGATAAGTAATGGCTCTCTTTGCATTTTGATCTTCAAGAGCCTGTTCTTCAATACTATTTTCTTCTTTCTTTCTCTTCAACTTTTGCTTGTCTTCTATTTCTTTATAGTATTTCAGTGCAGCTTCATCAAGATCAGAATCATCAGAAATACCTGCAACAGTAGAGGCAGCAGCAGTAGTCTCTGAAACAGATTTTGGCTTGGCCTTGGTGAATTTTGCTTCTGAATTCAGTTCTTTCTTTCCAGCATCATCTTTAAGTGTGAGTAAATGACGAATTTCAGAAGACAGCTTCTGATCTACAACTGACAGCTTGTTGATCAAATTTCGGTAGGTAACAAGCCTTTCTATGACAGGATGTCCATGTGCAGGGACTCTCCTGGCTTTCAGGATCAAATAAAAGCTGATGTTGGAGCAGTAGTTCAAATAGAGGTTGTACTTGGTCCTCAGGTATTGGCTTCCTTTTCCGGGTGGAACGATCCCTTGCTCCACCAGCTGTAGCAGTGGCTCCAGCTCATCCTTCACCTCAGTCAGCTTAACTTTCAGGTCTTCTATCAGTTCCAAGAGTTCTGGTGATTCTTTCCGCAGCATCTTCAGCTTCTCTTTCACTGAAACTTTCGCCAGATCCTTCACGACCCGGGTCTCAGCCTCATCTACTTGAGGTACTGGTTTTGCAAATGCCTCTACCCAGGTCACCCCAAAATCATCCTCTTCCAGGGCTTGGGCGAGGCGCCGCTGAATGAGCTGCGCTTCCTCTTCCTCCTCTCTTTCCTCCTCCTCTACTTCTTGTTGACTTTGTCGGCTTCGGGACTTGGAACCGTAGTCTGTGTCATAGTAAAGTTTTTTCCTCTGACCCCACGACAAACTGGGATCCACAGATACCTCGGCCTCACTCTGCACGGAGCTCCCACCATCGTCATCGTCATCCTCTTCATCGTCCTCATCTGCAGTATCTAGGGCTAGAACCTCTTCCTCCTCATCGCCATCCTCCTCGTCCTCACTCTCCACTTCGCTCCAGCCTTTAGCCAAGGCAGCCCGGGATCGGGCCTCATGGAAATCATCTACCTTATCTTGGTAGTAGCTGGAGTCCCCTGGCGAGGGTGGCATTTCTAAATCGTCTTCATTTTCGTCCGCTGGGCCGGGACCTGCCTTGGCTCGCACAGCTGACCACTTGGCCGCTCCGCGCCGCCGGGATCTCCCCACCATAACTCACGGTCTCAAATTCTACACCGATATCAGCCTTTCGGCAACCAGGCACGCGCTCCAGCAACACGCCTCTTTAAACAGCCACGCGCTCTCCTTCCGTGGCAGCTTGCGGGCGAATTGCTCCCCGGCAGGCGTTTCCACCTCCTTCCGGCCCCCAGGATCCTCTCCGTTTGGCGTGTGCACCAGGACTTCCGCTCCGTCCCGCAGGCTTTGTCACGTTAAGAGCATCTCCCTCTTCGCTTTTGCCCTTTAACACCGATCGATTCCGGTGAATTAAAATCCTTCCGTGAAGGAACACTAGATATAGGAAGTTTCGTTCCGTGGAGCCCTTTGAGACCTCTGTTCTTACTCTCGCGAGTCTGGGCGTGGCTGGGAGACGGGATCGTGAGGGAATCGCTAGGCGAGGTCGCCAGGGCCGGTAGAGGGGGCTCTAGCTCTACGTCTACGAGAGGTCGGGGGGCTGTCCAGTGAGCTGTACTGCGACGGTACCAGGTGCTTCCGACCGGGAGCCGAGGTAGTTCTGTAGGAGCTCTCCAGTCACCGCAGTTGTTATATATCCTCTCCGCCCATCCGTCTGGACTGCGCAACGTCCAAATTCTACGTTTCTGGGCACCATAACCTGAGGCCGGGACGGCGCCGCTGATCTCGAGAATCCTGGCCGGGCCTCGGGGCGGCTGTTAGCCCATCTCCAGCTCTGTGCCCTCAGGGCTCGGTGACTCGGCGGTGATTTGTGACCCTGAGGGGGTTTCGGGGGGGTGTCGGTGCGCAGGCAAAGCCCCACTCCAAGAGTTGATTTTCCCAGGAGGTCAAGTTGGCTGCAGAAGGCACCGCGACTTTTTAGTGGACAGTTCACTCTTCAAGATGTTTGGACATGACACTCACGGGAGGACCCTCTTTTTTAAAAAAATTAATTCTTCAACATTTATTAAGCATGAGACAGTGTGTTAGACTCTGGGAAACCAATGGTGGTCGGTCAAAAGCGCACGCTGTTCCGGAGTTAAGGAACTTGAGGCCTAGCGAGGGACACGCGTAAATCCAATCATCACACAAAGCGTGCCAAATTCTAAATGGGATAAGTACTGTGAACATTTGTCCCATGTAACCCAGCCTTCAGCTGCCGAAAACACTCGATGTGCCTTTTACATTGCTGCCTTTGTACACACCAATACCCTTACTTAAGGGTTTAGTACTCGGCCCAAACTTGGGAAATGTTTGCTGTAAAGAGCTTAAGCATTGCTTCTTTGATCTCTACTTCCTTAGTTGTCTTTTCCTCAGTTCTTCTGTATCACCTAGTAGATCTCTGCAAACACTGGTATTGCAAGCTCCCAGTACAGTGTCTGACACAGAGTAAGTGTTCAATCAATATTCGTTTAATGAGTAAGTATTGAAATTACAGTATTTGATTACCTGTCTATCTCAGATGCTTCATAAAACTGAATGAATGATGCATAAGGCTGCCAACATTCCTAAGGGTGATAATCTGGGCTGGAATGGATTTTAGGAATCATTAATTCTAACTACTTTCATTTTATACATGTGGAAACAGAGACTTGGGGAGATTACGTTACCATACCTGGCACAGAAGCCAGGGACAGGGCTCCCTCCCACACCAGGCTTTCACAGTGAGCTGTTATCAGTCTTTTGCCCCTTCAGTGTAAATTAGTTTCGGACCTTTTCCAGAGGGTAGGTTTTGCAGGGTAGGTGACAGAAATCAAGAGCATAAATTAAAATATTTGAGGAAGAGGGTGGTAATAGGGAAGAATTAATCAAACTTGTCTTTAGAAGTATTATTAGGGCTAGAAGTATGACAGGACTGCCCTATAATCTTGCAATAGTTCAAGGTTTAAGTTTTCAGACATTACATATGATGGATTCAGAGTATTAATGACACCTTCAAATGTAGGGGGTTAGGGTCTGAACTTTCAATATGATGCTGAGGTTAAGGGTGACGTACAATTTCTTTGCAGAACAAATAGTGTCATTTAGAAAAATACAAATTCTCAGAAAAGTAATATTTCAAATTAAATATTTTTAAAATGCTAAAAGTTATCTTAAGCATTTTAAAACCTTCATAAGAGTTTAGAAAATACAATTTAATGAATTAAAAAGATGTGGGTAAAAGTCCTATGTTCTGATGGTAAGCATAGAATTCATTTTTGAATGTAAATTTTAATAGATTTTATTATTAAACAAATATTAACTGCTTACTAACTGTAGCAGCATACTACATTCTGTAGTAGATCCAAAGGTGAATTAGAGTCTCTTCCCTCAAAGAGTTTATAATCAGATATAAAAGAAGACATGCATACAGATTACTGAAATAGAAAGCAGTGTGTGATGTAAACCCCGTGCTGTGAGAGATCAGAGGAGTGAGAGATTGCGTCTAGATTGTTATTCTGAAATATTGCTTCAAGAATGTTGCATCTAAGTGGGACTGTAATTATATCCTTGTTTTAAATGTATTAAATTTTCATTATACATAAAAATTAAGTTTTATTTAGGCCCACAAATCCCAATTTTTCTGCTTAATTTTATTGCAAATTATTTGAGAATTTATAGCCATACTTCAGGACCAGAATGTGTATATTTTTATATAGAAGTTAGAAAAATATTTTTGGTTTCTTAATGGGAATGATCACATTGCTCTAATATTATTTATACTAAAGATTACATTTCCTAAGTATTTAGAAAAGAGTTGCAATATCCATTGTGTGTTGAGAGAGTGCTGTAGTCCAACATTCTCAGAACTTTTTTTCTTTAAATTTTTTTTGTTACGTTAATCACCATACATTACATCATTAGTTTTTGCATTCTCAGAACTTTTTGATAAAGAACCATTCAGAAGCCAGTTTTTCAATTCCAGAAGGTCCCATAGCCTGGTCTTCCATAGCTTAATCTTAGAATTATTAGGTGAGGAAATTTTTTTCTCAAAAATTTGTATTTCTGAAAGACAGCTTAATACTTTTGTTATGAGCCTATGCCAATTAAAGTGAAAAACAGGGTGCCTGGGTAGCTCAGTCGGTTAAGCATCTGACTCGGTTTCGGCTCAGGTCATGATCTCAGGGTCATGAGATGGAGCCTCACGTGGGGCTTGAGCTCAGTGGGGAGTCTGCTTGTCCCTCTCCCTCTCCTTCTCCCCCAGCTCACACACACACCTCCTCTCTCTCTTTCTCTAAAATAAACAAATAAATAAAATAAAAATAAAATAAAGGGCAAAACAGTCCCCAGAGAAAATGAACAAATATTGAATAACATTTGGCATTTAACCATTATATTTGTGGCTACTATAATTTATTATCAACTTGAATATTTATTACATTATTGTGATGCTGGCTTAGGCGTTCGCAAACTACAGGTAATGAGGGCCAACAGGTTTTTGTTTGTTTTTTTAGAATAACCTTTTTGCCTTAGTCTAGGACTTTCGGGGGATTTTCTTACTGTGGAAGGTAGGGGTTTGTGAGTGACAGATTAGGTGATATTAGGATACTTTATTCAGGGCATGAGTTCTGGGTGTTGAAGGTATTCTACCACCAAATTTGCTTAAATTGATCTCAATTATGGCCTATGCAGCAATAGCAGTAATAGTAACAACAACAACAATAGCTAACATTGAGAGCAGTTATTATGTGCCAAGACTGTTACAAGCTCTTGACATTCAACTATATGAGGAAAGTACTAAAATAATCTCTAATGGAAGAAACTGAGACACATAGAACTTAAATGAGGTCGTAAGGCTAGTAAGAGTAGAACTAAATTTGAACCCAGGTAGTCTGTCTTCAGAATCCACACTGTATTAAAGCTAAACTACTTAGCTAGTACTGGCTTTCAAATATTCCCTTTATAAATCTCATTTCCAGTCTCTGCTGTACATTTGATTCAGTATCATCAGATATATCCTCCTAGAGTATAATTTCTATCATCCTACATCCTTGTTTAGAAACTTTCAATGATTCTCAGATACTATCAAGATAAAGTTCAGTTTTGCCAAAAAGTAACCTTTCCAGCCATACCTTTGATCCCTCCCCTACTAAAACCTTTTGTTCTAACTTATGTGCTCTACTACTCTATTTCTTTCCACTAAATCTATGAGCCCCATTAAGTCTGGATCCATGTAGTCATTTTTAAAATCCCCAGAATCTAGTTCAGTACTTGAATAGGTATGTTTCTATACTCAGTGTCAGCATATGAAAACGGCAGCCTTTAACAATGAATTGCAGTGTCTTTTGTGCTTCTCTCGTCATCAGCAGTTTTTTTGTTAAATTTAAAAGTAACCTTTGAAACATCAAATATTTATTATATGGCTTTGTGTACTTCAGCTAATAGTTAAATGCATTTTTACTTTTAATGCCAGTGTCACAGACTAGGCTGTGATGACTGAAGTTGTCAAAAGAAGTAGCTTGTTTTTGTTTGTTTTTTTTCATGCTCAAAGAAGTAGTAATGGTGAAAATAATTTTATATGTTAGTAATAATGGGAAAACGCATCCTTGATGTTCAACTTCTTTAGATAGTTTGATATAATCAAAGAAACTACTTGAACTATTTTTGGGTGCAGAAAAGAAAGAAGGATTATTTTTAACTGTAAAAAAGAAAATGGAAGAGATGAAATATAGTTGCCATCTGCTTTCATTTCTCTCAGAAACCACTTACCCTGAAACTAGTAGGTTATAGATTCTTTTTGCAACTAAGACCTGTATCTATTTAAAGACACAAAAATCCTAAAAGTGATCCAGAAGTAAAATATAGAACTTGTACTGAAATGTGGGATAAACATATGAACACGTCTAAGCTTTTAACTGACAATGACTTGGTTTGGTGGCCTCAATTGTGAAATGAAGAATTTAATGAGATTGCAACACTATTTCCCCTTCCAAACTCTAATATAACTAAATACTGTGTAATTGTTTTCCAAACATTTTAATCCTTTTTAATTTTTCTTTATCATGAGGAACCTTGTAGGTATAATTGTTTACATATTAGCTATTGATTCTATGAAAATTATA